ACAATATTTTCGTACTAATCGCCGTAGTGCTGGAGTGTGCCGCGAAACCTGCGCGTTCCTACGAAATGATAGCTGCTGGTCGGTTTTTTATTGGTATTAACTCGGGTTTAAATGCAGGTTTGACACCAATGTACTTGGCCGAAATTTCACCTGTTAATCTACGAGGTGCGGTTGGTACCGTTTATCAATTAGTTATAACGATATCCATCTTTATTGCGCAAGTTTTGGGATTGGAGTATATTTTGGGAGGAGATCGTTGGCCTACATTGCTAGCAATGACCATCGTTCCAGCCATCTTTCAAGTGAGCAAACTCTTCAATTTATTTACACCGCTCAATTTTTACATGACAGGTTGTGACACTACCCATGTGCCCTGAAACTCCAAAGTTTTTGCTGTTGTCACGGGGGAAGGAAGTGGAAGCGCAAAGGGCTTTGACTTGGTTGAGAGGATCAGTTGCAGTTTCAGATGAAATGAACGAAATGCGTGCTGAATTTGAAGCAGTTAAATTGGTCCCGAAGGCCACCATGAAGGAACTATTCACGAATAGTGCTTTGAGAATACCACTTATTATTGCTTTAACCATGATGATTGCGCAACAACTCAGCGGTATCAATGCGGTAAGTCGTTTGCCTTCTTCTGGAAAAGGGTTTAAAGAAGTGCCGTTTTAGATCATGTACTTTTCCACTCAAATTTTCACCGACGCTCACTTGAAACCAGACGACGCCCAATATGCCACGTTAGGAATGGGGGGTTTAAATGTGTTTATGACTTTGGTTTCATTGATACTTGTTGAAAAAGCTGGACGTAAAACATTATTGCTGGTGGGTTTTGCTGGAATGACAATTGATGTTTTCGTGCTCATCTTTACAATGATCTATTCTGTATGTTACAAAATACCTTCCTAGCCTGTAATTAAATTGATTTGGGTTTTAGAAAGAATCTCAGTTCGCTAGGTACATGTGCATAGTGCTGATATTGATCTACATAATATTGTTCGCAAGTGGCCCAGGTTCGATACCATGGTTTTTAGTTGGTGAATTATTCAATCAATCTGCACGGCCAATGGCTACCTCCTTAGCGGTAATGACCAATTGGGCGGCGAACTTTGCAGTTGGCTTGGGATTTCCACTAATAAGAGTAAGATTAGGCGGCCATGGAGCGTATAGGTACATTTAAATGTTTTTAGGACGCCATAGGTCCCTATGTGTTTGTTATCTTTGTCGTATGTCTGGCCCTAAGTACAGTATTCATTTATAAAAAAGTGCCAGAAACGAAAAACAAGACAATAGAAGAAATTGCAGCGATGTTTAGACAACAGTCCTATCAATAAGCTTCTCAATACGATGTATCCTGTTGTAGATGTATTAATAATAGGTACCTATATTCTTTTGCAATTGTTGCAGTTAAAAATAACGCAATGAACGCAATTAAGAGGAATATATATTGAAAGATTGTAGAATCGCTAAACCAAGGTACTTGAAATAAAAGTTGGCTGTTTTACAAACCAATTATTTATTTTAATGTAGTATTTATAGTTTCGACTTTTTCTATGATTAGTAAATTGGTAATGTACTTATTTGTAGGTTTTAGTTTGATTTATACCATGACACCATTCAAATTGTTAAATTAGAGGTATCGTGAATTTGTGTACATACCTAATATCGGTCCATAGTACCTATATCAAACAATGTTGCAATTATTTTTGTAAGCATGTTACTCGTTAAGTATAGAGAAATGCCAGAAAACTAAACTGTTTTCCAGAAGTCTGAGTTATTTATTTCATAATTTTAAGGAGAGGTATTGTTGTTAATGAAATGACTGATCTATGTTTTATTGCACATTAATAAAACGTGCTCATAATCGTAATAAAATTCTTTATTTTGCTCTTATTGTATTAAGACATTTAAGTATTTAATATTGGGGTAGCTTTTTAGGTAGAGCGTCAAACCAGGATCACAGTGAACAAGGCAACAAGGAGTAACTGTGAATGAAGACCAATCATCATCAAGTAGTATAATAAACTCTAGAAGAAATAAACAAATCAATGTTGTAGCAAATTGCAACAAATAAAAGACATCCATCCACTCTTTGATATGGAAAACGGCTGCTGTTCCTTGTGAAATCGTATAATTATCATTCAATTCAATGGTTTTCTTACTTTGATCTCCCAGAGTATGTTGGTTTAAAGCGATCCCAACGATTGGCGATGTCCATTCACTTGGTTCCAGTGGGGGATTTATACGATTTGGTCTAGGGAGGGGCGCATACAATTTTTAAAGTTAATATATTTTAAAAAACATTTATTATACGTTTAAAAATAGAACATGTTCGGCATAATACATAATATATTGAACAAGTAACTAATTCTTGATAAACCAAGAAAAGAACAAACCAGAAAGAGGCTAAATGGCAAAATCGCGAGCTCTTTTTGTCGGCGCAAATCGATTTTTTTCCACTCCAGGAAATTTGTCCAATATAGGTATCCTTATACGATTAGAGCATTGTGCAGGTACACCATCTTGCTGAAATCAACAGGTTCCAACTTTGTGTGCCATACATCGTTTTATTCGTAGGAATCTACTTTTTTTACGGGCCCTATAAAAAATAAAGTTGATAATGATTTCTCCGAAATGAAACGTCTCAACCTCTCTTGTAAAACTCAATAAGTGACAATGAGAAAATGTTTTTTTTTGTATCTGCTCAAATAACAGAAAAGAATAAATACGAAATCAACAAATTTCTTGCCTCTAATTTGACCATCTATGGTTTATGAAATCCCCATGATTCCTCATCTGGGCCACAGTGCATAGCTGCACTTCACCCAAAAGTTGTGCTAACGACGGGTTATGCGTACTCTTTTAATAATTTAAATGTTATCATCTGCAGCTGCCAGAAGAGTATTAATATATTTATGTTTAAATTTAATAATTTTTTACCCTAACACGATTTTTTAAGTCAGTTTATTAAATGATTAAGAATTGGAATATATAACTCTTTTCCAATAGTCATTCGGTGACCGACTGCGTAACTACCACTGTCTAGGAGGGGGTGCGAGCCCCCCTTTAAATCCGCGCCTGCTTGGTTCAGTTGCTTTCTCCAATAATATCACGCTCTAAAAAGCTTCTTTTAACTTTTGTTCTAATTATACGATTCGAATGTAAGTGTAACAGGAACACTATACGTAGATCAATGGGATAACTAGGTAGGTGTGCGAGAGCACCGAACGCTCTAGGGCACCAAGGCGATAAACCAATCATTAAAGACAAAATAAATTTGCGACCCTTTATAGGACGAACGGAACATTGTTAAAAATTGACAAAAAAAACAAGACGCAATACCTACGTATTGTTATACAATTTTATTATAACAGTTGTGCAGACTTCTCGCGTCAAATTTAACTATGGCATGGGGTTGAAGAAATGATTAAGCATTGGAATGGGGGTGCAAAGGCATGCCACATTAGTATACAGACTATACTTTAAATTTGCAGCTTGTTGGAACTTTGTTTTATATCGAATTTAGTGAACGGGTAACATTTTGGATACCCACAAGTTTACAATTAAAAAGGGTTGCGAATTTCAAATTATTTGTTAATCAAATCTACCTTTCAATTTGTACCCTCTTACGGAGTTCAGAAAGTAATTTTGATTCATTATTCGTGCGCAAGTGAGAACGATAAACACGGCGAACGCGCAAACACTTTCATTCGCCTTTGTCATCTTTATCGTTCTCACACGCGCACGAATAACGAATAAAAATCGAAAAACTTTTCCGAACTGCACACTAGTCTGTACAGTACTAGTACCTATGTAACGTATGCAAATTTATGTGTAAATTCGAAAGGGTGACGCATAAAGTTTGTATAACTCTTGAAACTCTTGAACGTTCACTGGAATTTTAAAATAAAAATAGCTAATGCGTACGCGCTTTGTAACTTCGTAGTTTTGTGATGTTAGCAGTTAGACCCTCGTTATTACTAGTATGCGTAACGTGCCCTTTTTCCTAATAACCAGTTTTTTAACTGCTTATACGATCTTAAACACATAAACTGATAATTTATGACATGGGGTATAAACAGAATTCGGTTATGAGACTAAGCAATAAAGGCAAAAAATGTACGTTCCTAGCATGCCTAATTGTTTCTGTTGTCCTTAATAAATGGACGACATTTAACTTGTAAAGAAAGCGTTAGGGAGGTAGTCAAACATACTCTTTTTTAGGACAAAAATGTAGAACTGTGTAGTTAAAAGCATTTGTTAATTATATTCCCTGGGAATACACTATAGGAATGTTGTGTTTACATTCGGAACTTATGCGATTTTATAATTTAATTAAAAAAATAGCATGTGTATATAAACAATTAAAATAATAACTTCAATATAAATAAAACTTGTCTTGTCATACAATTTCCTTTAAACGTTTAATTCCTACCCCATAAGGGCCTATATCAATGCAACCGTTTAATGTTCGGTATTGCTTCTGCACCTGCTATTTGGCAGCGGCAGATGGAAAAACTATTAGAAGGGATTCCTGGTGTATCAGTTTTCCTGGATGATATTAAAATTACTGGACCGAATAATTTAATACATTTACAACGTTTAGAAGAAGTTCTAAAACGTTTACAAAATCACAATCTTCGTATTAATTTACAAAAAAGTACATTTTTAGCAGATCAGATCGAATATTGTGGGTATATTGTTGATAAAAATGGTATACACAAAACACCTGCTAAAGTAAAAGCAATACAAGAAGCACCAAGACCTACTGACAAAAATCAGTTACGTTCTTTTCTAGGTTTAATAAATTACTATGGTAGATTTTTTGAAAACTTGAGTACAATGTTAGCACCACTAAATGATCTTTTAAAACTGAATTCCAAGTTTATTTGGAATCAGAAATGTGAAAAATCATTCTTACAAGTTAAAAAAGAAATTCAATCTGCGAATTTTTTAGTTCATTTTGATTTACAATTACCATTGAATAAAAACACTTTTATTCAATGCAATTACCAATTGTGCTAGCAACTGATGCTTCACCATACGGAGTGGGCGCTGTTCTTTCACATGTATATCCGGATGGTTCAGAAAGACCAATCCAGTTTGCATCACAAACTTTAACATTAACACAACGAAAGTATTCACAAATAGATCGTGAGGCGTATAGTATAATTTTTGGTATTAAAAAGTTCTACCAATACTTGTACGGTAACAAATTTATACTGTATACTGATCATCGACCTTTGTTACAAATTTTTAATCCAAAGAAATCATTGCCTGTGTTAAGTGCGTCTAGAATGCAACATTACGCAATATTTCTTTCGGCTTTTAGATACGATATTCGATACAAGAATACAAAGTTACATGGTAATGCAGATTGCATGTCTCGATTACCAATTAATTCTGAACAATTATACGATTTTGAAGAATCAGACATATTTGAAATAAGTCAAATAGAGACACTACCTGTTACAATTAGTAAACTAGCGCAAGCAACTAAAATGGATAAGAATTTACAACCATTATTTATGGGATTAAAAATTGGTAAAGTGATTGATAGTAAACTACGTTTCAATATTGATCAAAAAGAATTCACCGTACAACAAGAATGTATTTTGCGAGGTCAAAGAGTAATAATACCTAAAATTTTACAAAAACAAATTTTAGATGAGTTACACTCTGCACATTTTGGTATTTACAAAATGAAAGGTTTAGCTCGTAGTTATTGCTGGTGGCCTGATATAGACAACGATATTGAAACGTTAGTAAAGAATTGTGCTAACTGCAATAAAATTAAGCATACATCTACAGTAGTACCAGTACATTCATGGGAAAGTGTAAATAAACCATTTCATCGTGTACATGTCGACTATGCAGGTCCATTTTATGGTCATTATTATTTTATTTTAGTTGATGCATATTCACGATGGCCCGAAGTTTATGTTACAAAAGATATGACTGCCAATACAACCATAAAAATATGCCGTGAAATATTTAGTCGTTTTGGCATACCACGTGTACTGGTGAGTGATAATGGCAGGAATTTTGTATCTTACGCTTTTGAAAGTTTTCTTAAACAAAACGGAATTAAACATAGTTTAAGTGCGCCATACCATCCTGCGACAAATGGGTTGGCAGAACGATATGTTCAAACATTAAAGCAATCATTACGCGCAATTAACGGTAATAGTTCTGATGTTGAAAAAGAATTATGTAGATTACTTTTACAATATCGCAAAATGTCTCATAGTATTACCAAACAATCACCTTCAATGTTAATGTTCGGACGTGAAATTACATCCCGATTGGATTTAATTAAACCCGATTTAAATAAAAATGCTACTGCAATTCGTAATAATATACCAGTTCGAGATTTCCAAATTAATGACAGAGTTGCTGTAAGAAACTATGCAAACGATATCAAATGGAAATTTGGAAATGTTGATAAAAAGTTAGGGAAATTACACTATCATGTTAAGCTTGATAATGGTAATGTTTGGAAGAGACACGTTGATCAGTTACGCAGAGTTGGGGTCCTTGGGGATGCTACTCCGCGAGACTCTCCTCAAAATGATGATATTCCTTATGACCCCTCTAACAATCATTCTGATGTTACAACTTTACCCGAAACTTTACCTGATCCAGAAATAAATACACCTACGTTGGACATAACGGCCAGTGTACCTACAAATGAAGAGAATACTTTACCGCAGCTACGCCGTTCTAACCGTGTACGTCGTCCTCCGGATCGTTTAAATTTATAAGTTGGGGAGGAGTTGTTGTGTTTACATTCGGAACTTATGCGATTTTATAATTTAATTAAAAAAATAGCATGTGTATATAAACAATTTAAATAATAACTTCAATATAAATAAAACTTGTCTTGTCATACAATTTCCTTAAACCGTTTAATTCCTACAAATACAATACCGACAATCGATAAGTGAGTGCGGAATCAAACAGGATATACAAGTTATTTTGTTAGTGAATTTTTGAGTGGTTATGGCTGCTCCATGGTGGACTTGCACAGAATGAAGAAAGGGACTGCCCGAAATGCTTGTATTGCAACAAAAATAACGGCGTAGAACATTTGTTTTTAGACAAATGGAAAGGTACATTTTTATGATTTTTTGGAATTATCTCGATAAATACCAGTCGCGCGATAAGAATAGTTCAGGACTTTGTTCTCCCTTGTTAAATTGTCTACAAAAAGTAATTCAACATTTTTTTTCCTCAGGATGATAGTTTCTGAGATATTGTTCCTGAAATATGCCAACTGCCCTATCAAAAAATCCCTCAAAGTGGCAACACTGATGACATCTGGCCTGCTCTCCTAGGTTTTGTCTCGAAACGGGTCTCTTTTCGGTCCCTCAAAACCGAGGGGTACTGGGAAGCGCAGGTATACGATGGTTCGCAACGACGCAACCTACACAAAATTCAAATTTCAAACTACTTTTCCGACGTTTTTCGTGTTCTCAATTAATTGTAACTGAAAGAGAATAATGACAATCTTTTTTGTTGTTATCACATTATTCTGGATATTGATATGGACTAAATCCACTCCAGGAAGTAGACAAAACGTTTTGTGACACAATTGACACCGTATATTTTGCGAATGCGAACCCCTTGTCATACAGTAACCGAGGAGAACTTCCATTTCAAAGAAATAGGTAGCTAGACCACTAGTGGCCTAACGAAAAAAAGATGGATAAGTTTTTTGTAGGAAGTTAAATGTGGAACAGAGGCATACTGAGCCATTTTTCCCCAAACCCGTGGTTACGGAGCTAATTGACAAAAAACCATAAAAAGTCACCTTTCCGGTCTTTCCGGTTCCGGTCCCGGTCGTAGTTGGAGGATTATTTTTCTACCACATATTATTTACATTCAAATGAAGGGTTTAAAACAAAAATTAGTTTATTAAAATTTTTTCCTTTATTGACCTGCTTTTGAGTTTCTGACGCCTGGACTATAACAGTCCGACTGTACGACTGTTCGAGTATTCCCAAAATTGGTTAGTGGCCTTTCTATAGAGAAAATATTAGATGTTTTCAGTCGAGTTGGCTCCTTGGATTATTTAATTTGAATGATTCTGCAGTCGATTCAATTCCAATAGCGACACCAATAACATAAAACTTTCCTGAGTTTCCACCGCCAATCTGATTTTCTTTTACTTGAGGATCAGAAGCATAATAATATCCTCCTTAATTCGCCTTAAAATTCAAGCTTCACATTTGAAAACCATACTCCAACAACAGTGATTTGGACAATTGGATTAACAAAACCCGACACTTGACTTTTTGCTGCTTAAATGTGAAAATTTGAAATTCGACCCCCTTCTTATTCGTGTTATTTGTAGAGTTTTGATTTTTTTATGGGGAATAAATTATATATTATTATTATTATTAAACCTCAATTTGACTTTTATACTTTGAAACTCAAATTTCAATCATAAATCTCAAAAGTCTAAACCTCAATTCAAATGTTTCCAACTTTGGCAATAGAAACCCCAAATTAAACCTCTAGAAGTAAACCCCTGGTATTGAACTACTAATTTTGCACCCGGATTTTCATGAGGCTTTCGACTGAAATTTTACGATGTTTCTGGCACGGCGACAGGTGGAAAAGTTACTAGAGAAGAACCAAGAGGGAGTAATCAATATCGCCGATCTAAAAGAATTCCGCATAAATTGCCTGTCTATCACCAAGAAGGAGAACAAAAATTGAAACAAATGTACAAAGAAGTTGGTTAGAAAATGTCGTAAATAAAACTGAATAGTATTTTCCACTATGAACTTGTGTTGGAAGCCTGTCATATAATTACTTCATGACTGACGTACAACTCAATTCCTTTAGAAAAGACGGTCGGATCAGATGATAAAATTTTGATAAACTAGGACTGGTATTGACGTCGACAATACATGTACCGGCGTTATGATTGATGGGCTCCTATATCTAGAAGTAATAACATAAAATACAGACTCTTGTTTCATACATTTATGGATATTTTTATAGGTCGGATATCTTTATAAACGTTTAATATACCGCGAGGGTTTTGTTCTATGCGAAAATATGACTCCTCGATAACGTCGACGGAGATATAGATTGACTAGCGGTTTCTTTATAGCTATATTGATTTTGATAAGGCCCGTAGTTACTCTAATGTTGCCTTCGTTCAATCTGAAACGTCATAGAGTTCAATTCCGGACGATCTATCGTTTATCTAAAGAAAACGCGCGTTCATGAGGCGATCGTTTATCGGTCAGCTTCTGTACATATTTGAATTAGGTAGGGCATTTCTTAGCCTAGGGAGACCTCCACTAACCCCCTTTAATTATATTCACCCAAATCGCTGTGTTGTGATTCAAGTGAGGATATTTGGTAGTAAGTTCGCTTATGTTTATCTACATACAATAAACCGACGTTGGCCTTGCTAAACAGGCTGGTAAACCAACGAAACCACAATTAATACAAATCGATTACTGTTCCATTAACTACTGTTGTCCACAGTGGTCGAATTGGGGTAGGTATCCGCTATTCTTAAAACTAATTAAATCATACTGTAAAGTGGCTTTTACCCAACACTGAAAGTCGCCCCTTCGACCACTGGTTGCCCACGGCAAAGTAGAATAAATAAATAAATGTACCAAAACAAAAAAGTGGTGAAATTATGGAAAGGGACAAAATTGCATGTCGAAAAACACGAAAGCTGTAAGCAATTTACGTATAGCGAGTTTTCAATTGAATCAATTCCTGGGTGTTTAGGTAATCTAAGTTAGCCTTAGAGACCGTGTGTTCATGTTTCCATCGTATTATGCCAGGCTCTTCCTTCGCTAGACGTAATTGATTTCTTGCGACCAACGTAAGCATTGCCACTTTTAAAACTGATTCCACATACTTCTTTCGAGTGCATCCTAACGTGAAAGTGCCGATTAAGGCGTTGTAGACTGAAAACCTTCGAAATTTGAAAAGTATTCTGTGCAATATCAATGATTCACGACTAAGTTTGAAATCGGGTCAGTGCAAAACCAAAACATATATCAACTGGTTCCTGTTCCTCTAAATGTAGAATGAATTCTATTCCCAACGTTGATTTGTTCTAAATATAAGATGTACTGAGGAGTTTTGTGAAAAAAATACCATTTTGTAAGAGAGGGCGTAGAAGGGCACGTCATTATGAGAAATTAAGGAGGCATGAGCTCGTCCTTAATTTAAAAGTTCGCAATGCAGACATTCCAGATGTACAGAATTTTCATTCAAGTCTGCCGTGAAAAGCAAAACGCTTGTTTACTTTTCAGCATCTTTTAAATTAAATTTCTTGCATAACGCTCGGCAATAACAAAGGGGTGAACTATTCCATTTACGCTTAACTTTATCATAAGCTACTGTACTACCTTATCTCCAGAAAGGTTGAGAATAGAACCTTCTGTTACTTTACGGTAATAAAATTAGTAACTCCGAAGCAAGTAGCTTTGTTTTACAGTTACACAATTTTTTTGTTTCAGTTTTATTATTAATATTCCATGTAACTGTCAACGTTATGCTAGGTTCCTTTTATTTTTTACTGGTTGAGAGAGTTTATTGTTAATAAATATTTTTTCCTTGCTGCATTCACTATCTCACCCACGTCTACCAATGAGATGAAGAGTGTAGAAGCCTTTGTGGGACACAATCAAGACAAATTAGGTAAGTTTTTACGTTATAGCCAAAACTGAAGCATGACCCAGGGTATCTTCCAGGAGGGTTTGTTTACGGCGAGCGCGAATTAATAGCGCGTCTATACAGCCCACACCCTTAATTATCCGGAATATAACTGGCGAGAGCGCGGTATTACAACCGACATGTCTACTATAAGGGACATGTAAATTCAATTAATAGCGCGGCTATATAGCCGGGCACCTTTAATTAACCGGAATATATCTAGAGAGAGTGCGGTATTACAACCAACACGTCTGCGTTACTTGAGGGACAGGTAAACTCAATTAATGGCGAGCGTAGGAAGACGTCCATGGTTATGGTGCAGGGCGCAAAAAGGCTGTCATCGAACAAATCTTACACACGAATGGTTAAAATTTATTACCTCTTTTTTTGTTAAATTTTTTAGGAAATAGGATCATTTATGAGCTTGCTATATTGCCATAATAAAAAATTTTCAAGGGCGAGCAAAGCGGCTCCCAAGAGTGGGCCCGCTCTTTCCCCCCTCTGGTAACGACCCTGGCACAACTGCGTCGCTTTGGTTCGTTAAATTAGAGTTAGATTCAGCAACAGATCAGAAAAAAAGTGAAAATTATGGAAAAACAAAGTGAACGTTCCCCAAGGAGCAACAGGTAATATAGACACTAGATATCAGCGTTGTATAAGATAATTCTCGTTATAGTTTAAACAGTGCTTTGTTATTCTTACAAACAGCAAACCATTACTACCAGTAATAAATACATTGGTAAAGTTTCAAAAGAGCGCTGTTCGAAAGATGTAAATAATATAATTATCTATGAAACATGGATACAAGACGAGTGAATAATGACTGATAATGGGAGAATAGTTTGATACGGTAGTGAGTGGGATGCGAGATTTATATTTTACTTAGGGTTCCAGGAAGGAAAACTCCAATTAACCTTAAAATGTAAATGATATCATTAAATGTGCACACCTTTGTTTAGGTATACAATTGTATATGGTGTTAAAGGTGGCTCTAGAACAAATAAAAGGGTTAAGTAGCCATCCAACTACGATAGTAGTAGAGCTAGTTTTATTTGTTGTCGATACC